TTCCACATTGCCTGTTTAGAAAAAAATTTATTGAAAGCCCATGTAGCTCGGATAGGTGCACTGGTCTTTGAACTCGCTGATCAAGTCACAAAGTCCCTCAGAAAATGGAAAAACTCATTTATCAAAACTACAAAGTTACTTTCTTACAACACATGGAAAATCACTTTTTATTATCCATCAAACAGTGTGTTATGTAACATATTTAAAAAATCATGATGCTGTGTTGGGATGATTGCTTTGTTGGGATGATTTTTGTTGCCTTTATATGCCATTTTAGTTGGTGTTTTCCTGTAGCTTTTTTATTTCAGCCTTTGATGGGAATGCTTTGTTGCATCACACAGTAGCTTAGATAACAAAAACTGTTTATGAAAAGTTTACTTGGTTTTGCGCCAAGTCACGGAAACCGCTTCTATATTTTGATGTCTTTTGCTGACCACAGAGTCCAATTTAGATTTTGAAAACACACAGTTATTCATTAAATCCGTTCAATCTGCAGCTGTAACAGCTTGGTCAGAGACATTAGAAAAAAAGACTGACCATTCCATTCACAAAAAAAGCCTTTCTCTTTATTTACAGAAATACCATTTCATGTTTTTGAGTATTTGGTTGTTTAGTTGTCTGTTTTGTTTTGCCTCATGTAATTTTAAAATACATAATAGTCTTTTGGTCATATGAATGAACGTTTGTCATTCTAGAACTCTATCCAATGTGTATTCATGTTGGAATAAAGCCACGTAATTACACTGCTTGCATTTCCAGTGTGGTACAGTAAGGATACACTATTACTCTGCCACATGTTCATCCACTACAGCATTCTCATTCCTTGTTTGAAATCCCTTACTTCAGCTTGCATTAATTGCTTGATTATTTTCATTTTTTTCATGAAAAACATAAGTTGTTGGGGGATCAAAAGAAAAGAGTCTCCCAATGGTGACCACTTCATATTCTCCTATACATTTAAAGAAAAATTATATTCTACAGCAATGGTTCTTTAAAAGTTTTCATGCCAATGAGCCCTTTTATGCCTGGCCATTGCAAAATAATTATTTTTTCTTTTTAATTTTACTTATTACAATTGTATTGTGTGAGAGACAATAAAAGTCAAGCATCTTTAGCTTTGGTTCTAGTTAACTTTAATACTTTGTTTTTAACACAAGAGTTTGGGGTCGGTACGATTTTTTGTGGTTGTTGATGTTAGCAAAAGTCTCTTATGCTTTCCAATGCTGTATTTATTTGATCACAAATAAAGTAAAAGCTGTAATATTGTCAAAAATCATTACAATTGAATATAACTGTTTTCTATTTTAATATATGTTAATTGTTTTAATTTAATTTAATGTCATTTATTCTTGTGATGGTTACAGGCTGAATTCTCACAGTCGCTACTCAAGTCTTCAGTGTCACACGATCCTTCAGAAATCATACTAATATGCTGATTTGGTGCTTAAAACTGTTTTGCTGCTTAATATTTTTGTGGAAATCAGGATTCTGTGATGAATAGAAAGTTCAAAAGAACAGGATTTATTTGAAGTAGAAATGCTTTGTAACATTAAGAATGTCTTTACTGTCAACTTAATGGATCCTTGCTGATAAAATATATCTTAAAAATCTAAAATCTTACAGACCCCAAACATTTGAACGGTAGTGTATTTAACACAATCTGTGGCATGTTCGGCTTTCCTGGAGACAAGAGATACAATACCCGTGTGTACAAGTGAGTTCTCAGTTTCTCTTCTTTTAGAATATAGATTTTTTTTTGAAAAAAAAAAAGCAAAAGTAACTTTGGTGACCTCAGAGAAATGTAGAATTGTAATATTTTACATGGAGGTACTCCCTATGTGGTAATAAATATCATACTGCAGTCAACTCCCACCATAGCAAAATGGAAACACAGTGCACATGGAGTCTTTTATAGATACAGGGACCCCTGGGGGTCCTTAAAGGTACTGCAGGGGCTCTGTGAGCTGGCGTTTGAAACATATACAAATTTCGTAAAATATATGAAAACATATACATGTTTTAGTTTTGTGGGCAAGTGAACTAAGTTATCCAATGTAAGAGTTTTATCACTGAACTATCTTTTTTCTGAATGATGATGGACTGTGAATTCAAGGAAAATCATTCTAAAATACTGTCTAAAAAGCAGGATATATCTTATGATGTATCTGTGGCATGTTCGGCTTTCCTGGAGACAAGAGATACAATACCCGTGTGTACAAGTGAGTTCTCAGTTTCTCTTCTTTTAGAATATAGATTTTTTTTGGAAAAAAAAAAAAGCAAAAGTAACTTTGGTGACCTCAGAGAAATGTAGAATTGTAATATTTTACATGGAGGTACTCCCTATGTGGTAATAAATATCATACTGCAGTCAACTCCCACGATAGCAAAATGGAAACACAGTGCACATGGAGTCTTTTATAGATACAGGGACCCCTGGGGGTCCTTAAAGGTACTGCAGGGGCTCTGTGAGCTGGCGTTTGAAACGTATACAAATTTCGTAAAATATATGAAAACATATACATGTTTTAGTTTTGTGGGCAAGTGAACTAAGTTATCCAATGTAAGAGTTTTATCACTAAACTATCTTTTTTCTGAATGATGATGGACTGTGAATTCAAGGAAAATCATTCTAAAATACTGTCTAAAAAGCAGGATATATCTTATGATGTTGGTTAAGAGAATGTCCAAGTGTGCATTTTCACACTTTTAGTAGTGTTTCTAAATGTAGCTGTAATTCTGCCATTTTTTCAATATGAATATATTTATTTTTTGGACAATACAGTATAGGAAAACTTTACTTAAAGCCTTTATGTATAATGCATTATGAAAGTAATTTTAATGCATTAATTATGCCTTGCAATGGACCTTATAATGCATTGTACAGTCTCATTAATAATTGTAACCACAATTTATACATTATAAAACTTATCAATTCATTGTTACACTATGTGTTTTAAATTCGGTTATAATTATTTACGACAAGATATAATGTATTACAACGCACATTATGAATAATTATAATGCATTATACATTTTAATAACCCTTTATAATACATTATACATAAAGGCTTTAAGTAAAGTATCACTGAAATCATTTTCGTGATTCTGTTGTTCAGCATTTCCAATTTTTTTTCCCAAAAATATTTTATTAAAAAAATTGAAATAAAACATCCTTTATCTAATTTGCTATCTTGCTTAAATCCAAGCCATATAAAATGCTAACGATCATAGCATAAACGGCTTGACACTGTCATACCATAACAGTCATTTTTTGTTTGACAGACATAAATCTTAATCTGTTAGCTGTTGGTAGGAAGCCTGAAAGAAAATACCCTCCTTTGGAAATAGCAAAAATAGACATGCTGCTTTTCCAACAGCACTGGTCAAAGAAACCACTGGTTGCTTCTCAAGCAAGTCTTGGCAAATTAACCTTATTTGAATCACACCATGAAGGATGTTCCTAGCGAGTCCTTTCCGTGCAGATGAATCTCTGCAGTACTCCTGTTAGAAAATCTGCAAATAAATAAGAAAATCTGCAGAGGGCAACTCAAACTTATACTTTCTGCTAAGCTATTACATTCCATACTGTGTTTGTAATGTATGACTCAAGAGTCGCATAAATCTTCATGAGCACTTTCATAACTATGTGGAAATCAGCACTAAAACGCCTAGTTAGTAATTCATCTGCTATATGAGAAATCACATAGGCACAATGGAAATTAAAGCTTTATTGTTGCTTGTATGATCTCAGACTCTTCGGCTAAGCTACGTGCTTCCCCGCACATGGTGTGCCTTGTGAAATGTGCAGGCGCTGTCTGTTTTTTTTTTTTAATCGGTGCTTGATGTTAGGGGGAGGGGAGACACGTAGCCAAAGGCAGTCGTTTTTTCAGCGTGGAGCCAAAAAGGGCTTCTTTTCAACTACCTCTGTCTGCCCTGTGGCTTTAAACTGTGCTTTTATAAGAAAATGTGGACTATCCTTTCAGAGGACCGTGCATGAATGGCTCCTGTAAATAATACGGCTCTTTCCCTGGCTGGAACAAGCAGACGATGTTCTCAGATGATAAAGCACCGGCGTGGAAATATAACCGCTTTCCCTACAGCTGTTCTCACAAACAATATAAATCAACTGCCTGGTTATATGTTCCGGCTTTTGTAACAAAACTTTTTTTTCTTCCCATCTTTAGATCAAATATTTATAACCCTTTATAATACATTATACATAAAGGCTTTAAGTAAAGTATCACTGAAATCATTTTCGTGATTCTGTTGTTCAGCATTTCCAATTTTTTTCCCCAAAAATATTTAATTAAAAAAATTGAAATAAAACATCCTTTATCTAATTTGCTATCTTGCTTAAATCCAAGCCATATAAAATGCTAACGATCATAGCATAAACTGCTTGACACTGTCATACCATAACAGTCATTTTTTGTTTGACAGACACAAATGTCCCCAGACCCAGAAACGTAGTAAGAACATCGTTAAAATAGTCAATGTGACATCAGTGGTTCGACCATAATTTTGCGAAGCTATTTCATCAAAAATATCTTAACTTGTGTTCTGAAGATGACCAAAGGTCTTATGGGTTTGGAACGAAATGCGGTGAGTAATTAATGACAGAATTTTCATTTTTGGGTGAACAATCCATTTAAAGATGAAATATGACTATTATAATGTTCCAAAAGTATTTATTTAAAATAAATTCTTTCCATTTTTTAACTATTTATCAAATAATCCAGAAAACAGTGTACCATGGTTTCCACAAAAAATACGTACAAGCACAACTGTTTTGCGGGACAGAAATGGATTTATTAACTTTTGTAATGTTTTATAATGATGTTAGGTTTGTGATTTCTTGAGGTTTTGCCATGCACATCTGCCACAAGAGTTGCCTGAATTTCTGGAATACTTCTCAAATATGAATTTCCTTCAGTTAGTTATAACCAAAGAATTTCAGCTCTTCTGCTAAGAGGAATTATTCTCTTCCTCTTCCGTCACAGCAACCCCTGGTGCGTCTCAGAGGTGGCGCTTTAGTTGGAGAGGGGCGTGTGGAGGTGTTGAAAAATGGAGAATGGGGCACGATCTGTGATGACAACTGGAATCTCGTAGCAGCTACTGTGGTGTGCCGTGAGCTTGGATTTGGGAGTGCCAAAGAGGCGCTTTCTGGAGGTCAACTTGGACAAGGTGCATATAGTTGAATTGATCAGAAGGTTCTAGACAGAACTCTCTGACTTCTGTGCATTTGCTTAGGCCCTTTTTAAGTATTCATAGTACATGGTGCTCTAGGGAAATGAAGGACTAAATTTGATACATTGCTTGTTATAATGAAAGTTATTATCACTACAGACACTGTCTGTCTAGTACACCTTTATTTTGCAACTTGAATAAAACTGCTTTTATGACTCTGGGGGGTCTGGGATCCCCAGGGGGCCACAAGGTGTGGGAGGGAAAAAATTAATTAAGCTGAAAATGTTTATCTTCTACAATGGCGTTTTACTGATGAATAAATAAATAAATAACATTACGAGAATAAAGTTGTAGCAATACAAGATTAAACTTGTAATATTTTTAGAATAAAGTTAAAATTACAAGAATAAAGTCATAGCAATACAAGATTAAAGTCAATATTTTAAGAATAAAGTCAAAATAGTCTCAAAAAATTATATACAGTATATATATAAAATTTAGATTATTTTTCCATTTAGTTTTTTTTTTTACATGGCATTAGAGCTACTCTTCAGTTTTGACATCACTATTCAGTTTTGAAATTACAGATAATGTTTTCAGATAATATTTACATATTTTTTGAGCTTTAATACAATATAAATATAAGTAATTTAAAAGCCCATTTTTAAAGGGTTCATGAACTACTTTATAGGCTTGGGTAACATTTTTGCATATGAAACAAGCATTACATGATGAACTCTTTTATGTTTTTACTATTAGTAGAAAACAAGTCATTTTGAGTTCTGAAAATTAAAGTATGTTTTTATAGCACAATGACCTCTTATTTGTAACAAAAATCAGTGAAAATTTGATTGTATGATTCCATATTGTATTAACATATTGTCACATTCCTGTATGTATAGGTGCACTATTTTTCTCACACAAATGGATCTTGAAAATATATAGATTACTTTATATATTATGAATATGTTTTATATTTATATGATCATCATGTTTAGGGGTTTTCAGACCCCTGGCCTAAATAATTAATGTATTAATGCATTAATACATTATTCTGTAGTAGTCCCACCTACCATGCTGTCAGTTAAAGGTTTGGTTTTGACAAATTGCATGGTTTCATGTTTGTTTTAGGTTTTTATGATTCTTGTCATACCTTTAAACATGCTTTACTGTTTGAGCTTCAGAAAGTTATTATGAATAAATATGTGTTTATGACTATTTATGGGTGTGTCTCTGTATGAAAACATGTATTTTCCAGGAATGGGCCCTGTACATATGAATGAAGTTAAATGTTCTGGATTTGAGAAGTCTGTCACTGAGTGCCCCTTCAATATGGACAAAGATTCTGAAGGCTGCAGTCATGAGGAAGACGCAGGCGTCAGGTGCAATGTTCCTGCCATGGGCTTCCAACGGAGGGTAAGAACTGCGTCTGTGGTACCTTTAAATTACTGAATATTGAAATGCATTTTTACTGTCATAGCATAACATAGCCACTGTGCTCTTCATTATTGCAGCTGCGTTTGAGTGGAGGTCGTAACTCCTTTGAAGGCCGTCTGGAGGTTCTAATGGAGCGCAACGGTTCTCTGGTGTGGGGGACTGTGTGCGGTGAAGGCTGGGGCACCATGGAGGCCATGGTGGTCTGCAGACAGCTGGGCCTGGGCTTCGCAAGCCATGCTTTCCAGGTATGTTTACTCTCAAAACCTCATCAGAAATGGACATTTGCGTCTCACATTATGGATTATCACACTGTTTAACTCTGGGTTACGGTAAGGCATGTCTGTCCCGCTTACCAGATCATCCCTTGATCTTAGTAAATTGGATGTTGGCCATTCATGGTATTCCAACTCCACACTACTATTCAGCTCTTTTTTTATAAGCAGGGATGGTGGAAGACTGCTGTTAGTGAAATCAAAGCTCTGTGTGGGCTGAAGCTTTTTCAGTGATGCCCTACTGTGATTTCTGAATAAGCAAAAGCTTGAGAGATCTCTACTTAAGTAGCTTTATCAAAATCAGATCATATCACTTCTGGAATGTTTCAGGCCTTTATTGATCGTCTTGTGTCAACGTGATTCCTTTCGTGCACATTAACTGTTCCTGTTGGTTGTAAATAAGAAATCGCAGCGTTCCATTCCTCAGGCACGTTGTCTAGTCTAATGACATTGCATCTGTCAATTCACAGATGGGATTTTATAAACAGAGTCGACCGGTGTACCTTCTAAAGAATATCCCCTGATTCTGTTTGTCAAATATGTCCTTAAAGAAACTGTTTTTCAGTGTTTCTCCCAGCAGTGAACTCTCTCTACTGACTTGTACTGCGTCCAAGATGAAATTCTTTCTTTTTACTGCCTGGGACAAATGAGTTACTGCAAGGAAATGTATGTACTTGTATCTCTGAAGTCTGAAATGAATCCCAGTATGCTGTGTTTTCACGTTGCTTTGATCCATTATGCACAGCTCGGCTTGTGAGAATGATGGTTCTGATAGAGAACAACGGTAATTAGTAGAACAACCAGCTGTTTAAGACATGTCTGTTTTCCTCAGATTAACCTTCTTAAATACATGCTTTCTGAGTTATAGATGTCTGTGTTTACGGTTGCCAAGAGAAACCATTTCTCCCTTCTGGTTTGACAGTGTTAAAGATACACAGTTACACCTGGGAAGCATTTAAGAAAGTTAGAGACTCTCTGTTCCAAGAGGAAATTATGTCTCTTCATCAAATGGATCTTAAATAGATGACAAGCAAGAACGAAACGTTGACTGCCGCAGGGTTGGAAAAAGAATGAGAGGTTTGCTTGTGAAGATGTTACTGTTGCTGTTGTTGAGTGACTGGATATGGTTAAACAATATAGACTATGTTTGTGTTTCTTTTAAAAAATGAAATAGTTTGATAGGAAACGGATAGGCTCACGACTTGAAAGTGTAAGTAACCATGTAAAATATAATATCAAAGAGAATATTTTGTCACCCTGGATATTGACTTTAACTATCTTGTGGGTGCTATTTAGCGTTTTGAATTTTCCACTGATTTGCTAAGCTAGGTCTAGGGTGCTAAGGACTTTTCTCCATTAGAACAAAGAAGTCCCTTAGGTTTTGATATTGTGACATGCAATAGCGCCATCTTGTGGTTAAATTCCGTTTTACTCCGTTGATTTCTCTTCCTCTGTTGACTTTTTCCCTCTGTTTTTTTTCTGCTTGCCAGTCTTATTACAACGCCTAGTGACATGAATGTAATTTCACGAAAAAGCATTGGATAATGATATTCACAATCAGCTTAATTTATGAAAAATTACCAATAATTACTGAGTATTTGTTTTGAATTACCTTTTATTTTTAGATTTTAAGTTTTCATTTAAATTTTTGTCATTTTGCTGTGTGCCTTTGTTATTTTTTCTTATTTTACTTCAGTTTTAGTACCTTTAGTTCTTCGACTTAAAATTAACTTAAGGCAACATTTATTATTATTTTCAGTTTTTAAAGTTGAAGTTTTTACATGATATTTATATTTTTTATTTCTTATTTCAGTCAATGAAAACAATTTTTATTAGTTGTAATTTTAGATTTAGTTAACAATAGCAACACTATACTGACATATATGTATTATATACATCTCATAAACATCTGCTCGCTCCATCTAAAATAAAACCGCTTCTATTGGGCTGTGAGTCAAATTTTGATCATATAGAGTCATATGAATCTACTCATGTGAATATGTATACAGGTTAATTCAAAAGTGCTTTGTGGTTAAAAAATTAAACATACATTTTTGAATGAGTGAAAATTACTGGGTACATCTTTAATGCTGTAACAATCTGTCTAATGATAAACACTGTGTTTATATTCAGTGTATCTGCACTTCCTTTAATTTCCGCTGTGCATTGGATGAATGACTTGTACTGAGGTGTAATTATGTGTTTATATAGGAGACATGGAACTGGCCCGGTGCAGTGAATGCAGATTCAGTGGTAATGAGTGGGGTGAGGTGTGCAGGAACAGAGATGTCTCTCTCCCACTGTCTGCACCATGGAGAATACCTCAGCTGCCCTAAAGGTGGAGGACGCTTTGCTGCTGGAGTTTCCTGCTCTGAGAGTAAGATTATTATCATCATATTCAAATACTCAGATCCAGTTACTCACTTTTATACATTTTTATGTCTAGACTTGGAGAGTGATTCTACTACAGTACAGCTTATTTGTTTCTGGAGAAACACTGACCTCTACTGGTCACTTTAAAAATAACATTACAAGCCTGTTGTGCGTTTGCATTGTATTAACACTAACAAACTATACACAGGATTATGTTCAAAGAACATATACCTTTTCAGCATTTGTACAAACTAAATTAGGGTAACATGTTTTTGGTATGGGATACTTTGCTAAATGAATTGAAGATGCAACGTTTGGTGTCAATGTGTAGGCTAGTTTTAAATCTTTAATCTGTGAGCTGTTAAAGGAAGAAACAAAATGCAAATGTTTTTAAATATGTATATTGTGTTGAAATAAAGAATGCAAAAGAAGTACTGCACGGGGTATTGGGTTTCTAGTCTCGGTGCTCTTTGGGTGCAAGGGATGATTCAACTCGTAAGAATAATAGTCCAAGGCACTCGAATCGTATTCAAAAAAATTGAAAAAGCCTTTATTTCATCATGGCTATAAGTTTTAAGAACAGGTGACAAGTGCACACCTACGCTTTGCGGCTATTTTGCCTTCGTCAGGGTGTGAGTAACAAACACAATCTGAGTTCATTTTAAGCAGCAGTTAATTAGTCAAATAACAAGCACCTGGACGTTCTACACAGGACAAACAATAGAGAGGAAGTTCGACGATTACATATCAAATTAAATCAAACACAATATAATCATGTATAAAGGAGGGAGAAAAAAACAAATCAGTGTGTGTATGTACATAGTATAAATTTCTTTATAAAAACAAAACACAAGATCACCGATATAATACTTCCAAATCTGAATACTTATTACAAAAAAGGTACCAGGTCTAATTCCCCATTTAAGCCTGGAAGTTTAGTTGCTTTCAGTGTATAGATCCAAAAAGACTCTGTCTGTAAAAGCCTACTGACCCTATCACCTCCTCTTATTGACCTGGGGACATGTTCTATTCCGATTATCTTCAATGTACTTGGGCTACCATGATTTTTCTCTTTATAATGAAGGGCCATAGGATATAAAGGGTTACAAACTCGAATGGCATTCTTATGTTCTGCTAATCTGATCTTTAATTTCCTTGTAGTCATCCCTATATAGAAACAACCACATGGACACTCTAACCGATACACTACAAATGAGGTACTGCAATTAATAAAGGATTTAACTTTAAATTCAATTTGTGAAGTTACATCTTTAAACATATTTGTCTTGACCATATTGTCAGAGTGATTGCAATTGCCACATCTGTAATTTCCTGCACTCGGACATAACCAAGTACTTAATTTCTTATCTTTAATCGTAGGTGCTTTTCGGAATACAACGGAGGGAGATTCAGGCATGACTTCCCTGAGATGGGGATCACTCATCACAATTTCCCAATTCTTTTTTATAATTTTCTTAATTCTATTCGCTTCTGTACTATACTGTGTAACGAAATAAACCGAATTATCAGAATCATGTGATTTACATTTTTGTACCAATAACTCATCTCTACTGATGTTTCTTGCTTTATTAAATGCCTTGTTGGTCACCCTGTTTTTGTACCCTCATTCCTGAAATCTTTGAGCCATTTCTTGAGCCTTGAAATCAAAATCATCTTCCTTGTCACAGATTATTTTTAACCTCTGAAACTGTCCTAAGGGAATATTGTCAATCAACCATGGAGGGTGAAAACTATCTGCTCTTAAAATAGTGTTTCTATCTGTTTCCTTTCTAAAAATAGTAGTATGTAATACACCATTGCCTGTAATACAAAAAATGTTTAAGTCCAAGAAATGTATCTGAGTATGTGAAAAATCAAGACTTAACTTCAAATTCACATTAGTATTATTTAAGTATGAATGAAAGACTAACAGATCTGCTTCTGAACCGATCCATATCAAAATGATATCATCTATATATCTATCCCACCACATCACATTCTTTAAATATGGATTTGAATCAGAAAATACAAATTCCTTTTCCCAAAATCCTAAAAACAAATTTGCATAATTTGGGGCAAAACAGGCACCCATTGCTGTACCTTTAATTTGTTTATAGAATTCATCTTGAAACAAAACAAAGTTATTATTTAATATCCATTCTGCTAATTGCATAATAAAACATGCCGGTGGCCTTTCAGTAGACGATCTCATATCTAAATAGTGTGATAATGCTTCCAGCCCATCTTTATGGTCTATATTCGTATACAGTGATTCAACATCCATAGTCACCAGTATAGAGGATTCTGTAGTTTTTATTTCTTTAACGATATTCAGTACATGAGTTGTATCTTGAATGAACGAGGGGAGTTCACTAACCAATGGTTTAATAAAATAATCCACAAATGCGAGGGTACAAAAACAGGGTGATCAACAAGGCATTTAATAAAGCAAGAAACATCAGTAGAGATGAGTTATTGGTACAAAAATGTAAATCACATGATTCTGATAATTCGGTTTATTTCGTTACACAGTATAGTACAGAAGCGAATAGAATTAAGAAAATTATAAAAAAGAATTGGGAAATTGTGATGAGTGATCCCCATCTCAGGGAAGTCATGCCTGAATCTCCCTCCGTTGTATTCCGAAAAGCACCTACGATTAAAGATAAGAAATTAAGTACTTGGTTATGTCCGAGTGCAGGAAATTACAGATGTGGCAATTGCAATCACTCTGACAATATGGTCAAGACAAATATGTTTAAAGATGTAACTTCACCTTAAAACTTATTAAAGGCTTTTAAAAATTTCTTGAATAAGATTCGAGTGCCTTGGACTACTATTATTCTTATGTATATTGTGTTGTTGCATACATTTCATTAGCTAACTGCATGATTTTTATATGCCTATATGTCTATATGTGCCATATAGACATCACCTTGACATAGTCACCACTGATAAACTACTCCTTAATGCAATGTAGAAACATAAATTTTCTGTCAAGCTGCTTTGCAACGATTTGCATCATGAAAAGCACTATACAAATAAATGTGAATTGAATTGTTTCATTAATGGAATGTCTTAAAAACAATGAAGAAACATGCATAAACCAATATTTTTAAAAAGCACTGACAATGTTCAACATCTGTTTTAAAACTTCAGCTAAGTGTTTTTTTATGTTCCCTGCAGCTGCCCCAGATCTAGTGCTCAACCCCCAGGTGGTGGAGCAGACCACATACTTAGAGGACCGTCCTATGTTCATGTTACAGTGCGCCTATGAGGAGAACTGCCTGGGCTCCACTTTCAGTTCCACCCCAGCCAGCTCCTATCGCCGGCTCCTCCGGTTCTCCTCCCAGATCCACAACAATGGACAATCTGACTTCAGACCCAAAGCCTCCAGAGAGACATGGGTTTGGCATGACTGCCACAGGTGAGAGGTCGGATAACTGAAATCATATGATTAATATGATTTCTTTAGGATCAGGCTGCTGAAAATTCAGAATGACATTTTAAAATGTATTTAAATAGAAAACAGTTATTGAAAATTGTATTCACAGTTTTACCGTTTTAACTGTATTTTTGATCAAATAAATGCAGCCTTTGTGAGCATAAAAGATAAAAAGTCTTACCTACCTCAAACTTTTAAAACTGTAGCATATATTTTAACTTGTAGTTAGATTTTTCTTTTTACTGTTACAGACACTATCATAGCATGGAAGTATTCACCCACTATGACCTACTTAGCAACAATGGCACCAAGGTGGCAGAGGGACACAAAGCAAGCTTTTGTCTGGAGGACTCGGAATGTGATGAAGGTATGAAAGAATGTGGCTGTTTTTGTAGTTCACAACTGAAAAGAATTTCACCTCATTCTATAACTGTGTATTTTTGGTATTGAATTTGGTATTACATTACAGTAGTGTGATGATTTGCCCTTTGTATTGTTAACTTCATTAGGAATTGAAAAGAGGTACGAGTGTGCAAACTTTGGTGAGCAGGGGATCACAGTGGGCTGCTGGGATACATACAGACATGATATTGACTGCCAGTGGGTTGACATTACAGATGTTAAACCGGGAGACTACATATTCCAGGTAATAATGACATTTCCAAAGTAGTAGTAATTTTAGTACCAAAGAAATTCTTTTGAATCGTATTACCCAGGTTCTTGGAAATGGACATTGTGATTAATTGTTTTTACTGACTGTATTCGCTCTTTCTGACAGATCGTAATTAACCCCAATTATGAGGTTGCTGAGTCGGATTACACCAATAACATTGTCAAATGCAGATGTCGATATGATGGTCACCGTATATGGATGTATAATTGCCATATAGGTAAACAAACATTTATGACTTATGCCTCTTCACATTGTCTACATTTACATTTGAAATGTAAATGTAAAATGTACATTACCATTTAAATATTTTGGTAGTTTTTTAACTGGAAATATGCATTAAATTGATCAAAAGTGACCGTAAAAACCTTTATTAATGCTAGAAAAGATTGTTATTTCAAATAATTTCTGTTGTATTGAACTTGGAATTTTCACAAAAATATAATAAGCAGCACAGCTGTCTATTGATAATAATAATAAATCAATCATATTTTGATAATGTGACACTGAAGACAGGGGTAATAGCTGCTAAAAATTCAGCTTTTGCCATCACAGGAATAAATTACATTTTAAAATGTATTCAAATAGAACTGAGTTCTTTTGAATTGTAATAATATTTCACAACATTACTGGTTTTACTGTATTTTTACTGTACTTTTATTTTTATCAAATAAATGCAGCCTTGGAGATTTTCGTTCAAAAACACTGAAAATCTTGCAAACACCTTCAAAAAATGTAAAGTAAAATAATGCAAATGTTTGTATAGTATAGTACCCTGGTATAGCTGTATATTGAACATCACTTTGATTCTGTGTCTCTTTAGGGGGCTCCTTTAGTGCAGAGACAGAAGACACCTTTCCTGGCCTGATCAACAACCAGGTGACCCATAGGTAAAAGAGAGGCGCTGAAGAACATCCAGAAACTGCGGCCAACCAGTGAGATCATCAAGAGCCCTGAACCACTACACCTCTCTAGAGGACCTTTCATCTCTCAGCAGTAATTCCATGGTACTCTTTCAACTATGCTCAGTGTCACCTCATAGCCAGCACAGTCCTCTACTGTCTTACAGGACTAAACATCCCTTTTTTTTAAATTGAGAACTCAGATTTGAGACAGGAACTGACTCTGAAAACAGCTCTTTGGCTGAGATTTACAGACTGAAATTCCCTCTCACCGCTGAACCAGTAGCAATTCTGAAACCTCATTCTTTCTCGGTTTGCTGCTGGTGTTGAAGATGAAACTGTGGATAACTCTCAAGTGAGCTCACTTCAGACATGAAAGGAACTCTGGTGCACTTTTTATTTTATATTTTTGAACTTGACAGGACTCGTGGTTTAGGTCTTTTTGTAAGCGTTTTGATTAGGTGAGAGGACTTTTCTCAGATGAGTCTTCTAAAAGAATATTACACAAATCTACAGAAAAATAAAGGCCTGAAGAGAGACCATTTCCTTTTTTAGTGTCCATGCATTTCAGCTATATACTTTGGCATTTCGAAAACTAAGCTGATGACTTCTGCTTATAGATATTATTGGTTATTATTTAAGTACCTTATGGGTTTGTAGTGGAAACGACCGATGCATTAGAAAGATATAATGAGCCTCACAATATTTTTTTATCAATGTCCAATTTCAAAAGTATTTTCAGAAATTATATGTTGTTACATGATGAATTACAGTGTAAGAAAACTTTGAATATTTCCGGTAACCTTAAGCCTCCCAGTTCAGATCAGCGGTTCATAAACACTGGCATCCTAGGAGCAGATGAACCTGTGAAAACTCTAATATTAGGTTTGTTTTGGATTTTCCCCCCACCCTGTTCTTGTTGTTATTTTGAATTGACTGACAGTGAACAATCATTATGAATTATTAATGCTAACTCTGACTGGAAACATCACAAGCAGTCTGATCCTTTCCAACTAATCATGCAGGAATATTCATTAGCATTAAATAACTTATTTTAAGACAGGGATTTCAGATGCTATTTCATAATTTCTTTGTTTTTCGATGTGGAATGTCTTTCATTTGATGTCTGTTAATGGTGCTAACATAGTGTTATCCTCTGTTTTTTTGAGGGACCATATCAGCTAATTTTACATTATGCTTACTTGAATGGATGTAAAAAATCATGGATGTATGCGATGTAGCGTAATAAACATGCATTATTTGGCAAAGAAAAACAATATATGGTATTCCTACAGTTTGGGCTAATGAATTCACTTGTTGTTTTCCAGTGTGTGAAGATATTTTATATTGCACCCTCTTGTGGTGTATTGCAATATGGCAAACACGTTGTATTAAATGTCATATTCACTTCATCCACTATGTGGTGCTCTAACAAAATGAAAAAGGTGGAATTTTGGACTCTTCAGTACTTAAGTACTGTTTTTGTGCGGTATGCAGTATGTATCAAGACAGCAATGTAGCTATATACAATTTTCAGCATTTTAATTCCATACTGTATACTGTTTCACATACTAGTAGGCAGAATGCAATATACACCCAGTATGCAGTACAGTAGTATTTCTTTCGGATCAACAAAATTCTTTGCAACCTGAAACTTGTGTTCACCGTATAACTCCAATTTATATTCCATACAGAGCATCTTATGTGAAGATTAATGTCTGTTTGTACTTTGCTTGTTAAAGCATTCAGTAGTTTACTTAACAGGCCTATGCGCTTCAGATGATTAATTACATATTTGTTTTTACAAAAACAACATACATAACATGGGGTAAACTTATACACCGGTGTCACTGAATTGGAGCATATTTCATTTCTGTTAGGTTTAACGTATTCAAATTCTTGTAATGCTGGCTAGTTTTGAGATTAATGTTCATCATATGTATTGCTGTAGGGGATATGGGAACAGAGCCATTTCCTCTCGATGACATCTCATTTTCCTCGATTTTCTTATTATATGTTGGAGGTCTTTTTAAAGTGACAGTGAGAATGGTCATTGTTCTTATTGGTTTAACCTCAAGCATTAAATGTACAAAGACCACCCACACAATATGAAAACAAGTGGCTTAAATGTTCACAAACAAGTATATTAATTACTGAATCAGATTTCCAGGACAATGGAGACTGGCTACAGACCTTCACTCTCAACCTCATATGCACTCTCTCTGGAACCAGTAACACAGTCTGTTGTTTTAATGTGGTACTGTTTGTTGTCTGTTTATAGAATAATTACAATAAATGTTAGGCTTCATCATTCATGCACACAATAATTGTGAGAACACAACCAGGAAAAATGGAATGAAAGAATGGAAACAGAATACTTTTAAACTTTTTTTTTCCCTTCACTCTCAACCTCATATGCACTCTCTCTGGAACCAGTAACACAGTCTGTTGTTTTAATGTGGTACTGTTTGTTGTCTGTTTATAGAATAATTACAATAAATGTTAGGCTTCATCATTCATGCACACAATAATTGTGAGAACACAACCAGGAAAAATGGAATGAAAGAATGGAAACAGAATACTTTTAAACTTTTTTTTTTCATTTCAAGGATGGCATGAACAATACATTTTAATTACTTAACAGAAAAATAAAACGCACAAAGCATATGTCTTATGGCCCTTTTTTGGCGTGTTCAAGACAAATTACTAGCTGCAGGCATGCTCTTTCTCAGGATTCATCCAGACGCAGACCAAATGCAAGAACAAATGCGTATGCACCTGTTGTGAATCTGGAGGAATTTTTTTAAGGAGATTTTTATCTAGGCACATAAATATGCAAATTGTACGAAATTATTTATGAAAAAGGCCTCCAAAACCCTGTGCCAAGAAATTGCATTACATCGCCAATGGTTCGATCTGCGTTGCTTTGATGGTAGCAAGCTTTTTCAGTTTCTCCTGCTGAACCTCAGACCGAGATGCTTCTATAACTGTGCACTGTATTTAGTTTGCACCAAACAGAGAACTTTACTTTCAAGCCAAGGAGCTCAATTTAAATCTCACTAGACCACTAAAAGTTTCTTCCAAAAGGTTTCATGTTTTAGAATCTAGAAAACTTTTTGACGTGATTTAATGTTTGCCTCTCCAAGGCTTCACTTCAGCCAAATCCTCTAACATTCTCACAGTGTTATAATCTGTCACTTTTCTGCCAATTATCCTTTTCCAATTGCTCAGTTTGGGTAGGACAGAAATATCTTGGTGTCTGTTTTTTAATTTTTTTATTATTATTATTATTATTATTATCAAACAAACAAAAAAGTTGAACTTTACACTTTGGTTAAATATTAGAAAAGGGCCTGGCCAAATATACCCAAAAGCCTATAAATCCTAAACTAAAACTCAAAATTACATGAAACTAGGTGAGCACATGCAGCATTTGGTTCTAAAGAAGTAACTTTTATGGAGATTGTGCTATAGGTAAACCTCATATTTCTATGGTAAATGACCTGGAATTGCCAAAAATGCTCTTTTTTAATCACTGATTTAGGTAGATACTAGCTTGCTCAATAATTTTGCTTAAATGCCTTAAAGCGCTTGAACATAGCTTGCAGTTAATGCATGCAGGAACATTCGAACCTTTCTTTCCAAACTTTTTAGATCTTTCTTCCAAATCGTAATTACAGAACGACTGATCTGGTTTGTGTTCTCAGACCTGGCAAAATATATTTTTGTGCAGCCAAGCAGTTGAACGCATTTAACATATTCAAAGAGTTTTAGTAAAACAAAAATATTTAAATAACCGAACCAACCACTATATTGATTTCAGTTCAGATTCTCATCTACATAATTAGATGTATAAATCTCTACATAGATTTCTTTTTTTGCACATAAGTGGAATCATATCTCATGTCACTATGTCTTTGTTGCTTGTTTTCACTTTCAATCCCACATAAAAATGGGAATTGTTGCTGCATGCAGTGTGAAGAGTAGAATTTCGCTGTTCGCTGTCATGAGACGACGACTTAACAGTTGAAGAAAGAAGAACACCATGTCTCTTACAGAGCTTAAACAATCAAATCCCACAAGAAGAAAAGAGTAAGTCAAATTAAAATCACTCCAACTTTGTGCAGGATAGATGATGGCCAGACAGACTGAGAATCAATATTTGTTTTGATGAAGTGTTAGCTGAGGCTATGGTCTGTAGGGAGAAAAAAATTAATAAAATAAAATGTGGAATTTGTGCAGTGTAAGTAGCCAGGCTTTGTCAAACTCAAAGTTATCCTAAGTTATAGTTATATTCTGAATATACAGCGATATATAATGTATAATATAATATAGAATGAAATGGCTGGGGACTAAATTAATAAAACTGTTTGTTAGGCTTCATCATTCATGCACACAATAATTGTGAGAACACAACCAGGAAAAATGGAATGAAAGAATGGAAACAGAATACTTTTAAACTTTTTTTTTCATTTCAAGGATGGCATGAACAATACATTTTAATTACTTAACAGAAAAATAAAACGCACAAAGCATATGTCTTATGGCCCTTTTTTGGCGTGTTCAAGACAAATTACTAGCTGCAGGCATGCTCTTTCTCAGGATTCATCCAGACGCAGACCAAATGCAAGAACAAATGCGTATGCACCTGTTGTGAATCTGGAGGAATTTTTTTAAGGAGATTTTTATCTAGGCACATAAATATGCAAATTGTACGAAATTATTTATGAAAAAGGCCTCCAAAACCCTGTGCCAAGAAATTGCATTACATCGCCAATGGTTCGATCTGCGTTGCTTTGATGGTAGCAAGCTTTTTCAGTTTCTCCTGCTGAACCTCAGACCGAGATGCTTCTATCACTGTGCACTGTATTTAGTTTGCACCAAACAGAGAACTTTACTTTCAAGCCAAGGAGCTCAATTTAAATCTCACTAGACCACTAAAAGTTTCTTCCAAAAGGTTTCATGTTTTAGAATCTAGAAAACTTTTTGACGTGATTTAATGTTTGCCTCTCCAAGGCTTCACTTCAGCCAAATCCTCTAACATTCTCACAGTGTTATAATCTGTCACTTTTCTGCCAATTATCCTTTTCCAATTGCTCAGTTTGGGTAGGACAGAAATATCTTGGTGTCTGTTTTTTAATTTTTTTATTATTATTATTATTATCAAACAAACAAAAAAGTTGAACTTTACACTTTGGTTAAATATTAGAAAAGGGCCTGGCCAAATATACCCAAAAGCCTATAAATCCTAAACTAAAACTCAAAATTACATGAAACTAGGTGAGCACATGCAGCATATGGTTCTAAAGAAGTAACTTTTATGGAGATTGTGCTATAGGTAAACCTCATATTTCTATGGTAAATGACCTGGAATTGCCAAAAAATGCTCTTTTTTAATCACTGATTTAGGTAGATACTAGCTTGCTCAATAATTTTGCTTAAATGCCTTAAAGCGCTTGAACATAGCTTGCAGTTAATGCATGCAGGAACATTCGAACCTTTCTTTCCAAACTTTTTAGATCTTTCTTCCAAATCGTAATTACAGAACGACTGATCTGGTTTGTGTTCTCAGACCTGGCAAAATATATTTTTGTGCAGCCAAGCAGTTGAACGCATTTAACATATTCAAAGAGTTTTAGTAAAACAAAAATATTTAAATAACCGAACCAACCACTATATTGATTTCAGTTCAGATTCTCATTGGTTCTAAAGAAGTAACTTTTATGGAGATTGTGCTATAGGTAAACCTCATATTTCTATGGTAAATGACCTGGAATTGCCAAAAATGCTCTTTTTTAATCACTGATTTAGGTAGATACTAGCTTGCTCAATAATTTTGCTTAAATGCCTTAAAGCGCTTGAACATAGCTTGCAGTTAATGCATGCAGGAACATTCGAACCTTTCTTTCCAAACTTTTTAGATCTTTCTTCCAAATCGTAATTACAGAACGACTGATCTGGTTTGTGTTCTCAGACCTGGCAAAATATATTTTTGTGCAGCCAAGCAGTTGAACGCATTTAACATATTCAAAGAGTTTTAGTAAAACAAAAATATTTAAATAACCGAACCAACCACTATATTGATTTCAGTTCAGATTCTCATCTACATAATTAGATGTATAAATCTCTACATAGATTTCTTTTTTTGCACATAAGTGGAATCATATCTCATGTCACTATGTCTTTGTTGCTTGTTTTCACTTTCAATCCCACATAAAAATGGGAATTGTTGCTGCATGCAGTGTGAAGAGTAGAATTTCGCTGTTCGCTGTCATGA